GGAGGAGCGGCACCAGCAGGGGGAGGAGGAGGAACGTCGCCACGCTCGGCCTTGTGAGGCGGGGGAGGAAGGATGTCAGCTCCCGTGGGCTTAGGGAGAAGAGAGGACAAGACACCTGACGGAGGAGCCTGAGGAGGTGCGGCGACAGCCGACAGGATCATGGCCGCAAAGGCGATAACGGTCTTGGAGTGCATGATGGTGGTTGGAAGAAAGGTATTAGGCTTTGGGGGAAAAGCAGTTGCTGTCTGTAGGCTGTTGTTGTTGATGTTGTTGTTGTTGTTGTTGTTGTTGTTGTTGTTGTGAGTGATGTTGATGGGATGAGATGAAGGAAAGCGAGAGAGACCTGGCCTCTTTATATCCCATCAATCGTTCAAGTTAACCAATGTCGTGATTGATATCACGGAACTCTCTCGAATTCATCGTCATGTCAACAACTACTGCCTGTATTACTCAGTCATAGACTGGGCCCCTGCCAAGCTCGCGCAGTCTCCGGCCATGGTCTCCGGCCATGGCCCATAGTTGGCAGGCGGCAATGAACAGTAGTCGTAATGCCTTGTGGATCTCCACGGCACATCATTGAGGAGGGACAGGGGGAGGTTGGTCCCCATGCAGTATTACTCTCTGATTAAGCCTCTCGGAGAATAGACTGGCAAAGTGCGCTGATCCCTAGGTAACACGTAAGTAGGCCATATTGTTTGATCCAACCATCAATTTCACGATTCCTTATTCAAGACTAGTCATCTCGACATGTAAGTAGAGACCAATGGAGTGGAAGCAGGTGGGAAACGTGTGGGGATGGCCGGATCGTGAATCGTGCGTGTCCCACTTACGCGTCGCTCCAGGGCCTCGGACCGGGGTGGGAGGGAAGAGAGAGAAGAGCGAAGGAACATTGTGAGACAGCCGCAGCGCAGCTGCTGAATGAAGAAGCCCCCATAGCTCAGATGGACGACCATCAGGGATCTGCGGTGCGCCTGATTGACAAATCACAGCTGATGTTATTATACTCCTCTCATCACTCTTTCATTACGCCTGCCACGTACGACGACTCCAGTCTTTGATCTCACGATCAAGCGTAATAGAAGTATACCCTAGAGCTGGGGTCGAAGCGTCTGTTTCTACATTGCCTTCACACTCGTACCATAGAAGACTGTATTCAACTGCTGAAACTCTCTCAAGCATGTTCTGCATGTTGCGCCAGGGACCAAACCTGGAGAGAGAAAGCGGAAGGGTGAAGGAAGAGGCAATATGCATATTGTCTATACGGCGTATTTTTATGCAGCCAAGTCACCAGGAGGAATGGCATAACGAGTGGGAACAAAGTGACACCTTGGCACCTCTCGTCAAGACTTATATTGACGTCTCGATCCCCTTGCTAGCTGCAGTGCACCACAATGAGCGGCCGCGAATAGAGCGTCGTATGGGTAAGCATTCCGGGGCATCTCCGTACAGACTCCCTACGCACAAGCTCGCAAAGACGAGCATTATGGGCGAGGAGGCGGGGGACAAGGTGGGATATTCCCGGCACTTCAGAGACAACCCCGGCTTGCCCAAGCTCCACAAGTTTGGCATTGTCGGATCAATCGGCGGACTGCTGAGCAATGAGAACATCGGATCAACCTACCAGGTTTCCTCAACTGGGAATCCAGAAGGAAGATCAGGGGCAGGAAACACGTAATGCCACCGCCCCCATGTGGGAAAAAAAAGAAAGACCACCAACAAGACTGCATAGAAGCACATGGATTCTATGGCAGAACACATAAACAGTGGAGATTGTCTTTCCGGATCAGTCAGAGCTTTGAAGGGAAACCTCAAATGACATCGGTCGTGACCGTTTAGGTGCAACTCGTGTACAATGTACTCGTACACCGTAGCTTTGGGCTGCATGTACAGGTAAGGCGTCATTTCCACATGGATTCTACAAAAGAGTCAAAGCGAGAAGTGAAGAGAGAGAGACGCGCGTATGAATTTGGAGGGTACCAGACTCCATGCCATCAATCGTATCCGCGGCACAACAACGCTAACTTCTCCTTTCTTTTTTCGTCCCTTTGAATCCAGCTGTCGGAAACGTCATTGACATAGTCGTGCAGCCAGTATTATGACGGATCACAGTGCACCAGGATCTTGCGGAAAAAAGAAGCCAAGTCGTAGACATGGAGAACGCGCGTCAGAACTCTGGACAGACGTCCCAACTTCTCACACTGTAGTATTACTATTCATGTACAGTTCATCCGGGTTGGGAATGTCGCCATCGTGGGATCGACAAGTGCTTTCGCGGCCTCTTGCCAGCTACTATCTACTAGCAAGCAAGGATGTACGGCCAGCATTTGGTCCAGGGCCATGATGCTCCGGGAGCCCTGGTCGGCAGGTGCTTGGGCTGCCGGAGACCCGTGCGGGTAGACGGCTGCATGGGTGCATTTTGCCACGTCTGACAGCTTGGATGGCAATGACCCGTGGTTACGACTACCGGTGGCTCAGCGTAGCGTACGGGAAATTCGATCCTGCTCGGAAACCCGTATACTAGCATGCTGCTTTGCGGCTGCAAGTCGGACAGTCCCAACCCTTGGGCGTTCTAGAGCGCGAACGGGCATCATCTGTGATCATTTGCTTCCATGGCTTGGGCTCACTCAGGGGGGTCGGGCTGAATAGGAAAGGATCCATCCAGTCTGCCTCGTCAGGGGCTAGGCCTCTGACTAGCAATAAGGCTTATCAGACGAAATGATGGGAGACGCATGGGAAATTCAAGTTGCCGTACGACTCAGGTAAACGGCACACGGGGCAGGGGCTTCTAGAATTGATGCGAGGGGACGGTAAACGGGACGAGAAACCTGCTTGCGCATGTCCATAGCCAGTTCCCGCCGGTACATGTGCGGAGCATGCTGTCTTGGTTGCTCTCCCTCGCGAGGATGAGATATAGATCAGTCACAAATCATCCCGGATTGTAATTATACAGGAGTACAGCTACACGAAATACCTGCGTGTTCTCCTCCGAGGACGAAGAGGGCTCGAGAGGGCAGGCATATGCATCTCTCGAGCAGAGTCTGTATCAGTTGAGCTGCCAGATCTACCAGAGTTGCATGCACGAGTGTGTTGGGCAGGAGAAGCGGTTCGGAGAGTTGAGACGAGTGCGTTCACTTGACCTGTGGCAAATCATGAGCTGATACCGCAGCATCCTGTTCAGCTCACGATAACTGTTACGTGTTGCGTCACAAAAGGTTACCTTGTGGTTCCGTAGGGAGGGCGAAGAGTCCTTCTCTTCATTATACCATTCTAATCGATGGCTTCGCTCTCTTCGCTGTCTCCTGCCACGGTCGTGCGTTCCTACCCCTTTTCTCCTCTCGACTCGCGCCGTGAGGGAGGCTACCGCGGCTCACTCTCCGGGCCCTTGCGCCGCAAGATTCGTGACTGCTTGGCTCCACCAAATTACAATGGCCGAGGATTGTTCGGTTTATCAATGTTTGGATGGGACAGTCTCCGCAATCGACTTGCGAATGACTGCGCGGCTGCCAACATTCAACGTCGTCGGGTGCAAAAGAAGAATCACGCCTCCCAGAAGCATTGGTAGCATAAGAACCATCCCTTGTATCCTCCTCCTGATCAGACCTCGTCGTCGTCGTCGGCATCCTGCTCTGTCACGGCACTCCACGTCCCGTCCGGCTCGACACGGATCCGCTCAGCCAAGACCCTGTGTCTGACTGGCCCCGCCGCCGCCGCATCATTGATGAGCATCCTGCGCACTTGTGCGAAGAAGTCGTCCATGCAGAGAGTTGACGCTGGGATGCAGTGCGGTTCTTCACGGTGGCGGAGGGGGGCAGACGGGTTCTTATATCCGAATCTCGGTAGATCTGTACAGCCTGGGCGAGACATGTGTGTTCCGGCGTACTGTTGACCCTAATCTTCCTATAAGCCTCGAACCGGGACTGGTACGACGGCCTACTCGTCGAGGCCCCGGACACGGGCACATCATCAATCATCTAGATATCCCCCTCAACTAGAGACCCAAATGGATAAGCTAGGCGGCCGAAGCGATCTATTTCCTGCACACAGCAGAAATCGTGCACTGCGACGTCGGGCCTTACAACCTCTTGCTGGATGTATGCCTACAACTCAGGATCTACGACTTCAGCCGGTCACCTATCGAGGGATCACCAGCTGACATCCGGTCCGGGGTGAGATACACGAACCCGAAGTATAGGTGGTATCCGCCTAGACTAGAGAATGACATTTCCGGTCTCGGATCAACGATATATCTCATCGTCACGGGCGTCGCTCCCTTCGAGGACATGTCTAGCCGGAATATCATGGATCAGTTTAGGGTTCGCGATTTCCCGCCTCTTCTTAGTGTCCCGTGTGCGGATATCATTTATCGGTGTTGGCATAGGCAGACTGCATCGGCGGACGAGGTGGTCACTCGGGCGAGAGAGAATTCGGGGAGGTCTGTAGATGTATATTTATGAATGGATCCAGCATCTGCTATGGAACGGACATTCCGACAAACATGTTCAACGATTCCAGCAGGACACATATCCAGCACCAACGATCGCTGATAAGCACACGGCGCATATAGAAGAGGATGCGCCCCATCCCGGACGCCGCCCAGTGCTTCCGTGTCGCATGATCAAGGTTTCCCGACAACAGCGGTGAAGTGAAGAATGCGTACTTTTGAGTAGAGCTGGTACGGAATCTGGTTCACATCATCCATGTTCAGGCCGTGCCTGGACTAGTCGGGCGTATTCAAGTCCTCCCAGTGGCTATCGAGTGTCTCGTAGGTCTCGGAGATTTCCCAAGCAGTATCCCGGAATAGATCATCTACCACATCCACGATCAACAGGCCAGAGATTCGTGGAGCTCTGTCATAGAGACGGAATGCGACCAGTTTGAGCAGACATCCGCAGCAATATGGGGCACTCTCGCGGTGTACCTCCCGAACTTGTTTCTCGATCGCAGCTGTTCCGGGGGCCTCGGATTGATGCCAATATATTGAGGACAACCTGAGTCCTGACCCGGATGTGGACAAGGCCAATTTTGGCCCTAGTGTAGGGTAGCAAATTTACAGTGACTTGACATGTCGGCTCCAGCTAAAGCCGGGGGCAAATCTTGTCGTTTCTACGGATTACAGCCCTGACTGGCCGTGACACGGTCAGTCAGGGACGTAGGGTAGATTATGTGAAGAAAACGAGGTCTAGACGATGACGATGGAATGTAGCTGTATTCATCCTCAACCTGTCCCACCCTCTATGTGTTCTCTGTAGTTACAATCTCAAAAGGGTGTCCCGTGACTCATAACCAATGATCTCATCTCTTGTTCGGTGATCTCTCCGCCACCTTCACTTTCCCCGTCAGTGACATGGACTACTCCGTATAGCCACGGGGGTCCGCATCAATCCTTTCCACAACGTCTCGGAGCACCTTTCCTGAACCTGCACATCGGGGCTCTTAGTCCTACCGAGTGGGCTTCCTCCCCCCTTCCTACCTTTCTCGTCAGTATTGCTTCGGCTGATGCGGAGTGGCTTATCTAGTCGGGGGCGAATGTGCCTGGGAGAGTACCGTATGGTTTCCCCGATGACAGCCGTCACCTCGGTTAGTCAGGTGGGAGCACAGACAGGAAATCTCAGCGGAGTATGGTAGGCTGCGCCATCGAAGGTCACGGACTGTCATAGGCGGCATAGACCGCATAGACGGCATCGTGAAGCGGGGTCGCTGGATCGCGGGAGGGAGCCGTGTCATCTTCCTTCTTGTCCTCCTCTCAGTGAAACGGCCCATAGTAAAAGACGAAGACGAACCTGGATGGAGAAGCCGATCCGATAGCTTGTTTCTGGCATCATCTTCTGCACACTTTCCTCTTTCCTCGTGTTGGCCCAAAGCGTTAGCTCGAGGGGCCGCGCGAACATGCTCCGCCACGTCTCTTCTTCTTCTTTTATTTCCTTTTTCTTGCCCAACCTGCGAACCATTATGGATCTCGCTCGACCAGTATAAGCTCTATGCAGGGCATACGATCAGCACATTGTCGCCGTAGTGCCTGGCCTCTAGGCAATGGTGCCGAGTCTGAGTCCGCGTCATCAGTCTGACGACGACTTACAAGTGCGTGATCCGGAAACTATACCGGATTATAAGTCATCGTAGCGCTATGTCCACAGGTACACGTTACCAGAATATTCATCTCTACGCTGAGGATCAGGCAATGCTCTCTTCAGATCCGCGCAGAGTCGCAGGAGTTGAAAGTCGACATATCATCACCTGCTGTCAGACCGATATTACACATCAGGACTATACATCGCCCCGCGTTACAGATAGAACGAACGGTACGGTAGTTGTTCGCTTACAATCAATCGATGCCAAGCTGCGCGTGTACAAGCAACAAGGTACATAGTAGCTAGGGGGGAATCTCGCCCGCCAAGACTTTTTCAAGTGCGTGTGCCAAGGCACTTGGATAGACATTGTGCTCGCCAATCAATCCTGATGAATTCCTAATAGTAAAATCCTGGCAGGCGACGGATCGCGATTGAAGCTCGAATCAAAGCTCTAGTCCCTATACCTGCAACTATAACTTTGAATCGACGGCTTGAAAGTTGTTGATGCTGCGCAAGCAGTCATGTCAACATCAGGCTTGAATTCGCACTGCTTGAGAAATGATGCGCTATATATGTATGAAATAAACGGGTTGCTTTGCGCAAGAGAGTTATATTCTGAATTTTTTTTTTTTTTTCGAGAGAGAGAGGCTTTTATGGAGGAGATTATCAATCATGAGGAAAAAGGACAGGTGTTTATACCAATGAGTATATTGGACGTAACGTGAACTGGAGGAAACCCTCCCGCCTCTCTCTACGCAGTAAATCTGTGCGCGTATATGTACATAAACGAGTGTATGTGTGTTTTGCGATATAAAGACAATAGCCGTGACTTGACGATAAAAATGACTTGAAAGGAAAGTGAACAAAAAAAAACAAGACAAAAAAAAGACAGATGCAAGCAGATTGGTCAGAGAATGAAATGGAAAAAGACAAGAGGAACGATGGCCTTTAGATGCCAGAGTCATCCTGCTCGATGGTGTAGGTCTCCTGAAACTCTGACCAGGTAGTGCAGACATCCTGGACGTAGGTGTCGGTGGTGATGCCGAGGATCTCGGATTGACGCTCGATGAACTGGACGCCGAAGCCCTCGGATGTGTGCCATCCGATGTGGCAGTGCATGAGCCAGGCGCCGGGGTTGTCCGTCTTCCAGGCCATGACGAGGTGGCCGGAGGCGGGGAGCATGGCGGTGTCGCGGCGGGGCGGGTTGGATGTGTTGAGGGTGGTGGAGGAGGAGTAGGTGCCGGTGCCCTGGGCGAGGACGAAGAAGTCGTGACCGTGGAGGTGGATGGGGTGGGGGACGGCCAGGGTGGTCTCGACGACGAAGTAAACCCACTTGTCGGCCGTGTCGAGCTCGATGATGGCCTCGGACGAGGACCAGTCGGTGCTGCCGTCGACGATGGACAGGAGCGTGGGGTCGGCCCAGTTGACCAGCATGGTGGTGCTGTTGAGGTACCACCTGAACAGGCCTTCGTCGTTGGTACCGACGGTGGCCTCGGACAGCTTGGTCCAGTCAGCGTCGGAGATGGTCTCGGAGACGTGGGGCGTGATGTTGGCCGTCTCGTCGTCGCAGCTGTCGGTGTAGTCGTGGCCGGTGGTCGAGGGGGTGGCGGTGCTGTCTCCGTAGTAGACGATGCCCCTGATGTCATCGGCGTTGTCGTTGTCCGAGCAGGCAGACTGGGGGATGGCGCGCATCCAGAAGCTGTCGGCCACGTCGGCCTGGTCGGCCGTGACGATGATGTCGTACCTCTGGCCTGTTTGCGTGTCGCGGTTCGGATTAGCTTGCGTGTACTCTTCTCTCCTTTCTCCTCCTTTTTTCCCTCTTGGTTATGAAACGTACCCATTCCGAGGTTGAGGGAAGTAGTGTTGTAAGGCTCGATGGGGACAAGGTCGGAGGCGATGACCTGCAAGGTGTGGTTGTCGATGCTGAACTTGAAGTGGGTGTCGACGGCACCGTTGACCAGCCTCATGCGGTACGAGGTGCCCTCGGTGAAGGTGACGTTGAGGCGGGAGCCGGCGGTGTTGCCGTCCTCGTCGGTCCAGACGTTCGTGCCGTTGATGAGACCGGTGTCGAGGGTGGGCGGGCCGTTGGTCTCGGCCGATTCCCACAGCTCGTCGACGGTCTGGTGGTCCCAGTCGGTGAGGAGGACTATGCCCAGGTCCTCATCGTAGTTGGCGGTGGCGGGGCCGTTGATGATGATGCCGCCAAAGACGCCCTGCCAGGCCTGGAGGGCGAAGTGGGAGTGGTACCAGGTGGACCCGTACTGGGTGGCCTTCCAGGTGTAGTCGAGGCTCTCGCCGGGGGCGATGGGGCACTGGGTGATGGAGGAGACGCCGTCGTACTGGTTGGTGTAGTTCTGGCGGATGCCGTGCCAGTGGATGCTGGTGCCATTGTTGGACGTGGTCAGCTTGTTGGTGACGTGCACCGTCACGGTGTCGCCCCAGTCGGCGAAGATGGTCGGGCCCGGGATCGAGCCGTTGACGGCCATGGCCGTCCTCGACACACCGTCCGGAGCCACGGTCACGTCCGTCAGCTCGAACCAGTACTCGCGCGTCACTCCCGTGTCCACGACCTCGTTGTAGTAGTTCGTGTCTATCGAGTAGTCACACCACTGGGACCTCGTGCTGGCCGTGTTACCACTGCAGGTGGTCGCACGCTTCTCCGATCCAAGGGACATGAAGGAGGGGGAGGCAAGGACTGCCATGGCCTGGCAGAGGGCCATCAGGCTGAAGGAGAGAGACTTCTTCATGGTGAATGAAAGTATGATAGGGAATGGAAGGAGTGTAAAGGAAGGAGATGGATAGATAGATAGGGAATGTGTGTGTGTATGTGTGTGTGTGTGTGTGTATGTGTATATACAGTAAAAGACTGGAGAGAAGAAGTGCAGAGAAGAAGAAGGAGAGAGGCAGAGAGAGAAACCCCGGGAAAGAATGCTGGCTTGGAATCAAGCTTGAGACTGAGGATGGTATTCCAAAGTTCAAACCTCGACGAGAGGAGGGATGACGAGCCTTTTGTATTGAGATGAGGGTAGACCGCTCGGTAGCAAGAGAGGCGTACCCGTAGGTCGTGGAGAGAAATCACGAGGCCGTTCGCTTACACGCCAAGGTGCCAGTTATCCGTGCCTCCATCGACTACATACACGAACATGGGCCGTATCAAACCCCTTTGGGGGGGAAGGGTCCCACCACGCGAGACGAACTACCGATGCCTAGCCTCCCTCTCACCTCTCCCCTCTCTCCCCCCTCTGCTGAATCCACAGAGACGGAGTCTCCCCCGTGCACGCGCCATTCTACGGCATTGTACGCGTCGTACTAGGGGGAGGGGATAGTCGGCATTGCCTCTACCCTTTGCAGTCCTATCAAAACTCCATACGAGCACAGGTCGTGCGTAGTGCGCAGCCCCGTCCTACTTCGGTTCGCAAACCAGGAACGCATCTTGTCAGGAACTAGGCCCTTGACCGATGGCGAGTACAATGCCCGTCGAGGTCGCATTGCTAATCCCCTTCTTCCAGCTGGGTTACGTGGATATATGATATATATGCTTAAAACTATTCTGATAATGGGGTGAACCAAAGAAAAGGATGTCATTTGTCAAAGCCACAGCTGGGAGAAGACGGAGAAGAATAGAGTATGCCCAATAAATCAATCTAATATATATCAAAGAAAAATGGTATCTAAAACACACCAGATATAAATATAGAAAAAAAAAAGAAAAGAAAAGAAAAAGACTTACATGCAGTTCTCACAATGTGGGGCCTCAGCAAGACTTACGTACGCTTTCTCAGGCCAAATATTGACCTGAGATCTCTTATAAGTTACGGCCGACGGAGATGTATCCACTCCAGAGAAGCAGGGGTATCAATCAAGGCCATCCATGTGATGTATGAACCAATGACCGTAGAGACCTACTCCGTAATGGACATTTCTTTTCCGTCCCGCCGTTGCCAAGGAGTATCTAGGGGTCCGCGACCTGTGTGACCTCCGAAGGTAGGAGCGCTCACGGAGGAAGAAGAGAGAGAAGAGAAGAGAAGAGAGGGAAACAACAGAGGAGAGGTATGAAGAAAAGAGGTCCGTCCCAATGCCGGTGGGGAACCAGGACTAATCAAGGGGCAGAACGTGGTCCTCCGTTCGTTCATGCGAGTGCACGACGACACATAGCCTTGTGAGTACGTATGCTTCGACTTGACATGTTCGGCATAGACCGTCGAAACTGCATGCAACGGGCTGTGCTGTCCATGTTCCGTCGTATTATCCTACCACCCTTCTTTTCTTCTTTTCCACTATAGCCTATGCAGCATGCACACATACCCGTACACATACACACGCACATACGCAACCCATCCGGAACGATGCTACCCACCATCACCTGGACCATAAACACATCTATGCACACGCTCACGCACGCACCGACCTGCACCGTGTCTTGCGCAAAACAAAGAAACGGATGACGCGCAACTGGTCCTGTGGTCACCTGTCCCCTTTCTTCCACCTTTCGTTTCCCAATATATATCCACATTTGGGTTCCATCATGCGGCCGCACCCCACCATGCCAAGATCTAAGCCCGGCATTACGGCTCTTGCACCTCCCCCCTCTCACCTATCCTTCCAACAGGATAGTCATACTCCCGCGTCATCTTTCTTCGTATAGAGGGGAGTATTTAGGAATATCCTTCGCCCACCTTGGGGAGCTGAGTTGGAGGAACTACTACTACCACTCTCACTCTTTGGTTCAAAATCAGGAAAAAAGAAGAAAGCCGGCTTGATCTCATTCTTCTCGTTCTGTTTTCCCCTTGCCCTTCTTTGACTCTCTCACACTCCTTCATCTTTCTTACTCTCGACTATTCGAGATCTCTCATTCCTTCCATATCTTTTCAGAGAAGAAAAAAAAAAAAAGAACCAAAATGCCTAGTGTCATGTGGACCTTTACCCTGGCGGCTGCTGCCACCCTCGTCGCTGCTTCCAGCTCTTCTTTTTCTTCTTCCTCTGACGACGACAAGTTTCAGATCTACGCTTATGGTGACGAGATTGGCGGATTTCCCATCATCTCTGCTGGTGGTGAGTAGATGGATGGATAGTCTGTAAACTCTGATCCTATCTTTCTAACCTTCTCCGTTCTCTTCACAGAGGATGCCTTCATCGGTGACCACACTCTTATCGACAACGATGAGTTGGCCCCCGTCATCTGTAAGTTGCACCCTCCCTCCTCTTGGGGCTCCCATCCTCCTCCCTCGCCTCTCTCGTTCCTCTCTTCTTCCCCGGTCATCAGACCGGGTGAGGAGTTGCCGGTAGCCAAGCGTCGCAGCTCTCTCGTCAGTTGACGGGGTGTGTACAGAGTGGTGTCACTACGCACCAGGCGGCAGCACTGCTACCAGTAGTCCCCCGGGGAAGAGGAGGGAATACGCTGGTCAGCTACCGTTGTTTCGATGATTAACGTCGTGTGTCGATACAGTCACTCCCGACAGCGGTGTCCTGACCGGGTCTCCCAACACGACTGCCGCCCTGAACTCGAGCTCTCTCCCGACCTGGGCCGATCTCAAGCTCGGCGTCCCTTCTCCGAGCTCGTCCTCGCACACGGTCCGGTTCGCGAGCTCCAACTCGACCAACTCGACTGATCTCATCACCGACGAGTGGAGCAGGTACGGTTCCTTTGTCGGGATCGAATCGAACGGCACCATGAACATGCTCTGGTACGCCGCGCCCAGCGACACCGATGGTGTCTACAAGCTGCAGTGGAACGACACCGTCGACAGCACCGAAGGTCTCATCACGCTCTCCTTGAGGACCTCTGCCCCTTCCAACGAAGAAGCTTGATTCGTTCAAGACGGATACATACATTGAATGTAGTTCTCGGCCCCTCCCTTCCCCTCCTGTGTATAGCCCACCACCCCTTTCTTCACACAAGAATGTTTAAGCCTGGATGCATTGTTACGCACATATAAAGAAGAAAAAAAAGGAAAGCACAAAAAAATAGTCTCGTTTTTACCTCTCTTGTCTGGATCGTTCTTTTTTTTTTTTGGTCTCATCAACATCGCTTCACGGACCAGATTCCTCTCTCGTTTTTTTATTTACTCAGACAGATATATATACACATACATACACAGGCATGCATTGCGTACTCCATCCGCTGAGATGTTCATATGCATACACAATTGTAGATGCGGATTACGGTCTCGGGTGAAGTTTTTCTGATGTCTCGCAATGCATAACACACGCATGCTCGATACATTTTCGATAATACATTCTCCATACGTATCACTCCGTGCGTATTACTCCATACATACATGCACTCGATATCACATCGTAATAGACGCTAGATGCAGGACGACCAAGATTCCGATGATTCCCCATAATGTAAATGTCCGGTATTTCTAAATTACATGGCCTGACACGGAATCATGACCGTTCGTACGCCGAGCGCACTCGTATCCGTCTGCACACCATACACGCACACATAAGCAAAGTGATATATCTCGGCAGATGGGTTCGAGATAGTAGCAAAGTCCGCAACAACATCCTTCAACACAACTGGGAGCAAAGAACTCATGATTCCAAACTACCCTGTGCCCTCGGAAGAGTAGAGAATGCCCATCCGCATATTGACGTAATACATCTGACACCGATACGACATGGACAAGGACCCTCCATCCATGGCGCTTCAGCTGAAGGCTGATGCAACTACAGCGTAGCATCGGCCGCCTGTCACAGTTAATACTCCGTACATGTTAATCACACATGGGAGGGCAGGTCACAGATGCAACGTTGTTGAGGAGAGGAGAAGAAGAAGAAGATCTCCCTGTAAACACTGTACATAGGGCGACGTAACTGCACCTTGCATACATCTTGTCTGTACCGCTACTACCGGTTTTCTCGATGATACGAGCGCGGCGTAGCAGGGAGATGCATCCGCGGTATTGCTCTCGCCGCACATCTGTTTAACGAGTACGAGCGGTGCAGATATCGAAATATTGGAGGAGAGGAGACTATCAGATGCCGATGCATGCACTCGCACATGGAGGAAGCAGTGCCGCCATCAATAGATCAATCATTCCATCCTCGCACGTACGCCATGGGTATCTGCATAATCCAATATCACAGAGGTGCCTCGCCACGCGTCCGCCATTAATAGAACTGAAGTTGTGGAGAAGAAGAGCTGAGGATGCTGATATCACGGACAAAGTATGGAAGAATCTTCCCCCCGATTACTACCTACTATAGCACCAGCATCATGATAATATAATGCTACGTGTACCGCGTAAGGGATGGAGGTACGTACTGTACGATAAAAGGCAGGTATTACGTCGTATTATAGGACAAGCAATCTTGGCGCCAAGTCACGTACTGGGCGACTCTCAAACAGTACACAGGCCACCCACGTAGTTCACGATGGAGAAGAGGAAGAAGGAGAAGGAGAAGAAAAGGCACACGAGCCTCGAAAGCCGTATTCTCTCTTCTTTTTTTTTTCCCCTTCTAACCTTTGCCAAGACGAATCTCTGCCAAGAAGACTGCCCTTGCATCACCAGAATGTGATACCGGGCAAAAGGCTGCTCGATCGGTACTCGAACCGGAGTGGAAAGTGCCGTAAACTCAGCGTCTATTCTCTCTTCTCTCTCTCTCTCTCTCGCAACCTTGTCTCCTCCATAATTTAAGGAATACGGGATGACGCCTTGGGGTGTTGAGGGGGCGGGGAGATGGGGGCGTACGGTTGGGAATATGCTAGATGGGGACTGGAGATATTGGTCACCTCGCAGCCTCACCGGGGTCGACTAACGGTGTAGTTGGGGAATACATGCATAGGTGTAGTTTAGAAATACATGCATATATACGCGCACACATACTTCTGCTTAAATTATTACACTCCATCTACCGGTGAATGCAGGCTTGCTCGCCAATAGTTGCTGTGCGATTTCTCTCTCTCAGACGGTCGGGTTCTCTGATAGGGGGAGCGGGCACCGCAGGATAAGAGGCCGCGTAAGCTGTGGAAATTCTCGAGTACGAGGTGCCGGGTAACGGGTACGGGACACGAACCCAGAGGTGATGGGAGTACGGAGCAAGGGGGGGGGGGTGGAAAAGAAGAAGACATGGTATCGTGCCGTTCTTGCTTTTTTCTTCTTCTTTGGAGTTTTTCTTCAGAGAAGAAAAAAATCCGAGTTGCTGTTGAGTTGCCGCTGCTCTTGATCGTAAACGACTAGACTCCTAGCATGCGAACTAGTAATATGGGGGGGGCCGGGGGGCCGGGGGAAGAGGGATTACAGAATACAATGGTCGATATCGTTAACTGCAGTAATCTGTAATCTGTACTGATAGTAGTAACATGGTAGTATGACGGAGCGTCCAGTTGTAGATGGCTTTCTGGCTTTCTAGTCTAGCAATGTTGAAATGTTGATCGCCTTCTACCGAATATCGATACCAGTTCCTGACTCTATCTTACCCTATGGCTTTTCTTTTCTCTGTGCTTCTTGCGCTTCTCGCGCTTCTTGCGCTTCTTTCTGGCGACAGCACGCGGTGGCCCGTAGACGTGTATACAGTGGTCTCTGCCTGCGGATACGAGATACGTTCTGGGACGATGAGTGCGTGTCTCGGTGCTCGATTGATCGGAAAGGAAGGAAATCTAACTATGAAGCTATCTACGGGCGTACAGATGTCAGTCTGCGGCAGCGGCCTCTGGTTGCTTAGTCATGCAATCTTGGGTGCCGCATCTTTCCTTGTTTTTCTCTCTCCTTTTATTCTTTTCCTTTTCTTATTCTTCATCTCCGATGCGCTCCGTCTTCCATATACAGGTATGCGTGTTCGCAAACAGGAACACATGTACGGGGAGTTGTATATTTTATGAACAGAGTCCATCCCCTTTTCCTCGGTCCTTTTTTTTTTTCTTTCTTACGCCCTTCCCGCGCCACCAAGATCTGGGATCTCCATCTTTCATCTGAGCCTGGACATTCGGCCTTGGCGGTGGGAGTGGGATAGAATGGAACATTCAATCGAATGAAGCGTCGTACCATTAACAAAAGGCAAAGGCTTCTTACATATGAGTGTGTGCAGTAGTAATATACTTATGATGTCCGTTTTTTTTCTTCGGCTTTTGGCGGCGCGACCCACCAAACCGAACTGATTCCGTGGGAAGAGGATGCTTAGTAATACTTCTTGATCTCTCAACTTGCTCAAGCTTGCTCATCCCCCTACATACAGGCCACCAGACGGATAATATCATCCAAAGACGCCGGCGCCTTGCCTGCCGTCCTCCAATGACTCGGAATGTCTGCACAATCACCAGATCAAGATGAAGAAGATGACTACCTCTCCTCTCAAGACTCGGATTTCGCACCCGACGCAGTACCGGCCGACGACGACGACGACGACGACGACGCATCAGACTCTGAAGATGAGACGGTAGCCATCGGCCAACAGAAGCCGAAGAAGCAGGACCACGACGATGACGCGGGCTACGATAATTCGGGCGACGAGACTATTATCAAGAAGGGAGAGAAGAGGAACAAGAAGAAGAGCAAGGCCGAGAATGACGATGGCGACGACGACGACGGTGGTCAAGGTGGGCTGATCAAGACGCGACGACAACGCGCAGCCGAGTATGTCCTTCTCTTTCCCCTTCCTTCCCCTCCCCCTTTCTCATATTATAGACAGAAGTTCCTATGCAATCGTCCCGCACAGCGCAGATCACTAACAAAAGGTGATAGAAAGGAGGAGCGCAGAGTAGCAGCCGTTACCGGGCCGGTGACCATCGACGTCGACGCGGTATGGGCGCAGATGCTATCCGGCAAGCCCATCACGGCCCCCAACACCGTCATCACCACCGACTCCGCCGAGCCGGGAGAGGCCGAGTCCGAGCTCGTGCCCGAGCCGAGAGAAGAGCAGCGGTCCAAGCCTCCGTCCGATCTCGTACGTATCCGTCGAACCTATACTTTCGCCGGAAAAGTCCACACGGAGGAGAAGATGGTACCCCGCGACAGCGCCGAAGCAGGTCTGTACTTTGCGCAGAAGGCGAGGGAGGCGGGCGCAGACGCAGACGCAGACGCAGATGATCAAGACGGGAGTGGGAGCGGCGATAGCCTACCCGCCCGCCGCGCGACGAAACGAGCCTTCCGATCCGCCTTCGAGCCCCTCCCCCCACCGTCGACGGACCAGGCGCACACCCACCACAGGACGGATCTGAACCTCAGCGTGTCGGCCAGGATGCAAGCCCGCCGCGAGGCCCAACAGCAGCAGCAGGCCAAGAAGCTCAACACGGTGGAGAAGAGTCGCATGGACTGGGCCGGATTTGTGGACAAGGAGGGTATCAAGGACGAGCTCGAGCTGGCTGGCCGGGCGAAGGACTCGTATGCTTCCCGAGAGGACTTTCTGGCCAGGAGTGAGGCGCGTAGGGAGGAGGGTGCTTGGAAGGCTAGGATGGCGGGGAGGGTTTGAAGATGACTACAGCATTGTGTTTTTTTTTTTTTTTTTTTGGGCGGGGGGTCTAAAAAAATGGCACCTGAATTCTTTAAGAGTGTATATATAATAGAAACATGAGGAAAATATGATATCAAATGGTAGATGACGAATTCCAGATTCTCACAAACTTTTGCTCTGATTGTCTCTGTGGTGGTGTGGTGGTGATGTAGTGGGGCAGATAGACCTATCTACCTGACAAGAATGATACTTCGTACATTCTGCGCCGAAAAGGAAGAAAAAAAAAAGTTCAAAACACCGACTTCACTTCATCATCTCACATACACACACACACACCTTCACCACCAACCACCAACCACAATGCCTCCCAAACGTAAATCACCCCCGGGGGAAATCCCATCCGACGTCGAGGAAATCTTCCGTCGACACTTTGAAGCGCAGTTCGCCCCCATAGACGACACCGGGGGCGCAGACGACTGTGTCGGTGTCGAGTCGGACGAGAAGGCTGCAGACTCTGACGTCGCGGATTCCGACGTCGCAGACGAATGGGGTGGTCTGTCCGATGACGACCGAGACAGACGGTCAGATATATCCGGGGACGAGGAGGATAATTCAGAGTTGGACTCGGAGTCGGAGGACGAGCCTGTCCAGGTGGTGGATCATTCATCGACGGTCAAGTCGGCGGAAACAATGTCTAAACGTGACTTGAGAAAATTCATGGTATTATTCTCTCTCTCTCTCTCTCTCCATTTCTCTCTGTTCTGTTCTAGTCTTATTTACAGCCATCAATACTCACAATTGAACGTGTAAAGTCCTCCAAGCCCCCCTCCCAGACCGAACCCGACACCGACACAACAAGAACGACGCAAGCATCGGCAAAACCAGCAAAGACACTCCCCGAAGACGCCCCGACCCTCTTAGCGCAGGACCTCGAGCTCCGCCGTCTACTATCAGAGTCCCACCTCCTAAACCCAACCGCCATATCCTCGGCATCCACTTCCGCATCCACCTCCCGCAGCTCGGACGGCCCCCCCCGGCCCTTCATGTCGGGCCGGATCCGTCAGAAGGCGACGGACCTGCGCATCCAGGCTCTGGGGTCCAAGCTGTCCATCCTGACCCAGGAGAGCATGCCCATGAGCATACGCAAGGGTATCGTCGCGTCCGGCGCCGCCAAGGAGGCCAAGCGCAGGCGGGAGGCTCGTGAGAATGGAATCATCCTCGAGAGGCCGTCCAACTCATCTTCCGGACCGAACGGTAGCAGCATCCATAACAAGAGGAGGAGAGGAGCCGGCGGCGGTGGCGGCGGGAACAGAGATGTCGATGTTCATAGACCTGGTATGGGGAGGTTCAGGGGTGCCGAGCTACGTCTCGATGAGAATGCCGTCAAGAGTATTGAGAATTCGAGGGATGCCTTTGGCAGGGGCGGAAGGGGCGGACGTGGCAAGAGGAGACGTTGATCATCGCAACTAACAGTATGACATATCGTATGTATACCAAAACCCCTCTTTCCCTCCCCCCCCCCCCCAAAAAAAAAAAAGACGTCGCAATATACCAAAAACTCCAAAAGATGCATGCCATCAATCTCAAAATTGCATCCATCACATCACATCAATTACGATATAACACAAACTCTCCAAATATACATACAAATCCATACAAATCCATACACATATACGAATATATCATATCAACCAAATATTAATACCCAAACACACCAATTCACTCCTTCCTCGCCATCATCACTTGATTTAACTGCCATCCAGGAATATTCATTGTTTTTTATTTTTATTTGTTTTCGTTTATTGTATTTCCAACCAGTGTAGAAAGAAGAATTGACGGGCTAGTGCCCAAAAGGACCATCAGTCCGGATATAAAGAAGAAATAAAGCAACAGCGAGACGAACAAATGAGTAAAACACGTTTCTTTTCAGAAGCGCATGTCGTATTCCAAAAAGAATTCACCATCCTCCCTCCTGAATGTGGCCAACAAAAACTTGTCTCTGGCAAACGCCCCAAGACATATAATGAGAAATGAGATGAATAAATGAATAAAATAACGTTATAGGCAAAAGAAGAAGTAGCTGGGTAGTAGGGGTAAGATAAAAAAAGAGACTAGGAAATTAAGAATTGAAAGGAAAGTGTGTGTGTGTGTGTGTGTATGTGCTGTATAGACACGTAATAAGGGGGTAGAGAAGAAAAAAATCATGCTCGCGTGGGGGAGGGCCGTGAGGTTCAAAATTGGACAGGCTGCGTCTCAGAGCATACCATCATTAAAACCAACGCCTACATGCCACCGGCGTTGACAGGGTCCGGTTGGCTGACAGTCATGGGCATGCTGAGCGTCTGCAGACTGTTGCTGCCGTAGGGCTGGCTAGAAGTGATGGACACGGACGGGGCCAGGCCGCCAGTGGCGCTCGAGTTGAAGGACCCCGTCACGTAGGCACTATCGGAAGACGGCGACGCCTCCTCCAGAGATCCGAGGTGGTCCTCGCCAGAGAAGTCTTCCTCCTCTTCGCCCTCAATATTGAATGCAGTCTCGCCCGCATCCTCGCGCTCGTGCGTGCGCTTGTGCCTGTGAGTGGTCAGAATGCATGCGCAATGAACGATGATGGTGTCGGGTGTGAGGAGCGAGGGTAAGAAGACATACTGGGCAAGGTTGTCTGAACGAGAGAAGGCCTTGTTACAGGACGGGCAGATGTAAGGCCTCTCCTGGGTGTGGGTACGGACGTGGCTATGACGAAAAGGAGTTAGCAATCGTCAGCGCCGGGGGGGGGGATCAGGTCGGGTAGGCCATACCGCTTGAGGTGCTCCAATCTCTTGAAGAGACGACCACAGCTGGGGATAGGACACGAGTGCGACTTCTGGGGGTAGGGACCCAGCTCCATGACCGTGGCGGAGCGAGCACGGCGAACGGCGCCGTTGACACCGGGACCGGGGCGGCGAGGCTCAGACTGCTGCTGGTTACTGTCGGCCGAGACATCCTCCCCGCCCATCTGGCTGTAGTCCTTCTGGAGGGTCATGGGGTTCAGGGATGGGCTGCCCTCGACGGCCGAAAGGGGAGTTCCGTTCCTCGACATGTCCATGAGATCTTTGGGCTGCTGGCTGGACATGGAGACACCCGAGGCGCTGTAGGACAGGCCGGGCGGCGAGTTCTCGGCAGACTCGTCTCCCTCGGCGACGGGGCCAACCGAGACGGAGATGGATCTTCTCAGGTCCGAGGGCCTGTGGGTGGCGTTGTGGCTTGGGGGCATAGCCGACATGGATGAAGTTATGGATGAACGCCGCCTCCTCTGCTTGTACGTCGGCGAGCCTTCGGTTACGGAGTAGGCATTATGGGCGCCATACGCACGGCTCATGGGGTTGCCGCCCATGGTCGACGGGGGCAGGTGGACCATGCTGTGCAGGCCGTGCATGTTGGAAATGTTATCGGGCAGAGCCGAGTACAGGCCGGTCTCCTCGTTGGCAATGTAGGCCGGCTCAGCCGAGAGGCCAAGGCCGTGCTGCGGAGGCGTCATGGGTTCAAACGACATGCCGCGGGTGCTGTAGTCCTCGTACTGGGACGAGACGTAAGAGGGGGCAGGCGAGTACTCGAGTCCGTAGGCAGGCATGGAGGAGTGTCGCTGATGGCCATGGACGATAGGAATACCGTTCTGGTTGTAGTGCACGCGGCCATAGTCAGCCTCGCGCTTGACCTGGTGAACCTGCTGCGTCATGGCGGGCATCATCGACATGGCTCCGTATGGTGCCATTGCATCCATCCCGTCAGTCAAAGGGGGCATCGACTGGGGCATCGACTGTGACATGGGCTGGGCCATGGACTGGTTCATGGAGTGGGACATGGGTTGGGCCATGGAGGAGCCCATGGACATCGAGTGCGGCATCATAGTCGGGGGAGGCATCGAGTCCATGGAGCGCATGACGGGAGAAGAGCTCTGGCTCTGGGCGAAGCCGGGGGGAGGGCCCTGCTGAGCGTTGAAGGACGACGAGTTGGCCTGCTGGGCCTTGGTCAACTGCTCATACAGCGACTGCGACGAGTCGTATTGGAAGGACAGGGCGGGCTCGCTGACGGCGACGGTGGTGGCGTCCTGGCCCATCTTTTCGCGCTTCAGGTCCCTCTCGAGGGCGTCGAGGAAGAGGCGGTCGTGGGGAACACTGTACCAGTAAAAGACCTTTTGCTTCTTCTGGGTACGGATGCAGTTGTTCTTGTAGAGGAAGTCGAGGAAGGGGCTCTTGGGCTCCTCAAGGGAGGCGTCGGTCCCCGACTTAAGGTTCCGCAAGTCGGAAAAGATGCCCTCCTCAAACTTTTTCGAGTTCTTAACAGGACGGCCAAAGGCCTGGAAGCGGAAGGAGAGGCATCGAACAATATCAGTTCCAGAGATGTGAAAAAGATTGTTCCTGGCGAGGAGTCAGCAACGAGGCTCGGGGTTGCGCCTGTCTGATGGGCGTCCGCGGCGGCATGGTCAGGTGCCAGGATAGAAGACTTACCACAGAACGCACGAAACGTACTCGCCAGTAGGCAGCAGAAATCGGCGAATGTACTGATCGGGAGACCAGTCGACGGGAGCGGAGATGAGAAAGTACTTGAGGTTGTCAACCTGGTTCAGAGCAACCTGAGCATCGTGAGGCAGAGCCTGCTGGGCCTCAGTGCTGAGCATGAACGTCTCTGGCTTCTGGGCAGCCATGGCCGCATTTTGGGGGTACATTGTGTTTTGGCGTTTGTCGGGTGGAGGTGCTTAAAACGGATCAACCGGGATGATGTTGTGAAGAGAGGGATATCTCCCTGTGTCGAGCGACACGCACGCGTCGAGGAGAAATATTGTCGGTTGAAGCGATAGGCAGGTCGGCAGGTCAATGGCGCTCTTTTCAAATTTGAAACTTGGCGAAGGTAGGAACGAACGGAGGGCACTGCCTTCCTGTAGCTATATGTGCGCGTCGACGGACGACTGCTGCTGCGACGATGAAGAGAATAATTCGAGTCCGGCTCTGAATTATCTGACTTGAGAGGGAATGTTGTTGTTGCGGTCGAAACGCGTTTTGCAAGCGACCCAGTCGTTTGCTTCTGGAGTGTTGTTCTTCTCAGACCGAGATGCTGGAGAGTTTGGTAAGACCAGAACACCCTCAAGGTGCTGCGTATGTGGTGGTCGAAAAGTATCCTGTCCCGAGGTGTGGGATGTGTCGAGGTTTTGTGGCGACGGACCAAGGTCTCGTGTGTGTGCGTGTGTATATGTGTGCAGGATCGACGTAGGAATTAAACGTTTCGAGCAGCAACAGGTTTGGAAGAAAATAAATAATATGGCAAAAGAAGGGAAAAAATAAGACAGCTCAAGACGAAGCAAACATTCCCCGAGAATCTTCTCCTATAAAGTCCCTCTTTCGAACGCGCGGGCAGGCAAGGGTAGAAGCAAAACAACCTGGACAAGAGAGGGTTTTGTGCGACGGGTCGCGTTTTGGTCCTTTTTCTGGGTTGAGAATGAAGGGGGTGGAGAGAAGAGGGGGCGGCGGGCGGTTAATACCAGTACAGATGTAGCCGCGCCTTGTGCCTGATGCCCGACAAAGAGGAAACAAAAGGGGGGGGAAAGGGGGGGTCCGCTCGGGAATTGATCTTGATGAATGGAAGAAAGAATGAGAAAGAAGAGAAAGAAAGAAAAAGAGAACAACAGTCGCGCGGTATGAGCAACAGGCTCCTGGCAAACAGATGATATAGAGAAGAGAAAAGAAAGGGAGGAAGAGAGGGGATAGAGGGAAAGAAT